ATAAAATATCTATTTTGATTTTTTTTTAAATTTTAGAATTCAAAATTTATCAAACAAGAATACTTAATATTTTATTAATTAAAAATACTACTCATTCATTTTTAAATAATTGAATTAATTTTTTGTTATTATTTTAAAATATTTTTAGAAATTGTTTTTTTTTGATAAAGAGGCTTATAAAATAATTTTTTGATACTCTAGTTCATTGTTTCAAATAATTAAATACATTTATTTTTGAAATTTGAAATTTGAGATTAAAATGTTTAGTTGATTAGGTCAACAAAAATTGATCAATGGAAGTCAAATGGTTTTTAATTTAATGTACTTGGATGCAAAGTAATTGTATTTCTCTGAAACCCTAGTAAAAGTAGTGTACAAACCATAAGGGGGTACTTGAATTTTTGTTATTTCTTTTTCAGGTATTATATATAATTATAGCTTAAATTGGCATTCCTAAAAGTTTCAATGAGATTTTCACCATAAAAGGTTAGAATAATTTGAAATTTAAGTTATTAATTAATGAAATAAATTTTTTGAGATGATATTCGTTATTTTGAAACTTTATTTTTAGAGGCTATCAATGAGAATTCAAAAATTTTTTTGAACTATTAATATTAATTAAAAATTCAATAAGCTTTGTAAGTTGACCAAATGAGTTAATTTATCAATAATATGAAATTTAATTTCCATTTAGATAAATATAATGAATTGCAAATATTTAAGTTACATGAAAAATACACCTTAAATGTTTTAGCTAATAGGGATTGTTTAATTTTTAGAGATGATTAGAAAATGAAATTAAGGATGTATTTTGAAAAAGGGGAGATAAAGATTATCAATGGACTCATTTTAATAAGATTTTGGAAATAAATTCTTAGTTTAAAGCAAAACAAACTAATAAAGAATCAGGAGGAGAGTAAAGCTTTCATAGTGAAGAAGCAAACCTTCCAGATTCAGAAAATTTTGACTGAAATATTATTTCATCTTTTGGTATGAAACTAGAAATAATAATTAAATTTGTTTTATTCTTGATTATAATCAATTTTTCATTTTCTAAGTTAGTATTTTGTTTTCCAAAAAACAACATCCTCTTTCTTTAAATAGTGAACGCAGATCTTCTCCCAAAGTTGTTACAAATTCTCCTTACAGTATTAAAGCTCCATTTGCTAATAAATATGGATATGTTGCAATAACACGAGCTGGAATATAAGAATTATCTAAATAAAAATAAATACTACCTTATGATGGTTAATCTAGTTTAAATTGTGGAGTTTAAAATTGCTTTGAAATGTCTTTATATTTTTCATCTTAATTTTAAATTTATTTTTATATCTAAACATCCCATAAACGGATAGATTCATCTCTACTACCAGATAATAATGTAGTGCCATAAGGAGTAAAGCAGACTGATTTTACAGAATCACTATGTCCATCCAATATGGCTTTTTATTATCCGTCTTAACATTCCATAAGCGAATAGAGTTATCATCACTACCAGATGCTATTGTATTTCCATCAGGCGAGAAACATACTGATTGGATAAAACTATTATGACCATACAATATCATTTTTTAGTATCCAATCTTAACATCCCATAAACGGATGGACTTATCTGCACTACCAGATGCTAAGGTATTACCATCAGGAGAGAAGCATACTGAGTAGACAGTTCCACTGTGACCATCCAATTGGGCTTTTTATATTCCTTTATTAACATCCCATAAACGGATAGACTAATCTGCACCACCAGAATTTAAATAAATATTTTCAGATAAACGAATTAGCCTATCACTACTGCTAGAAGCTAAGGTATT